CGTCGAGCAAGTTGTCAACAATACTTTATCACTGTGAATAGACCCTATGTCCGACATTTAGCATGACAAAGGAGAAAAAAAGGAAAGCCGAATCTCAACTCAAAAAAAGCAAAAGCAGAAATTATTATTATTCAAAAAGCAGTTACCTCCAGCTCATGATCATCGTCTTCAGGATTGGGTAGGTTAGATAAATCGAATCGAATTCCAGGAGTGTCAAAATTGGTTTTCTCCATAGGGTCATCTTTTCCAGCAATCATCCGTGCTTTCTTAGCCGGATGAAGACGATAGCGGACCACTCGTCGGTGATGAGTATTTCCGTCTTGCTGAAACAAACAGCCTAACAAACAAAGACGAGAGTGCAACTCAAATAGATTACCATAGTTTCTTGATCGTGGATGACGGCTAATGTCATTTTTTCACCTTTAGCGCTCGGCATACTCCAAGCACGACGATGTCCACGTTTAAAATTATTCGCAGGTACGTTGTTTGACTTGGACGAACACGGCTCATCCTGCATTGGGGTAAGACGTTCCTTCCCTAAAATTATACAAAAAAAACATACAAAAAAAGAACAGCAAAAAAGAAGAAGATTCCGCTTTCACTAAGACACAATATGCTAAGCTATTCAGGAGAATGGAATAGACAGAAAATTTAACATCTCTACAGATAATTTGCATACATGCGGCATATTGTCACATGACCATTCGCTATAAAAAATGATCTCACTGTTCATGATAGTGGTGCAAACAGAAAGTGCGACCTTAGATTCTGCAAAAAAAGCAGATTCCGCCACAAGCGAGAGACTGCAATAAAGTCTAACAAATGCTTCGCTGGAATGACGATACTCGTTCTTATACGAGCACGTCGTACGAATTTCGATAATAAAGCAATAGGAAAAAATTTGTGATTCATGAAACAGGAAAGTTGAACAGCAACTCCTTCAATTCTCATCAGCCAGTCACGGAAGAAACAAAGGCGTTCCTACATATTATCATTTTGCAATATGAACTGCGTCCGCCCAGATGCAAACATAAAAGGTTGATTCGTTTCGGTTGTCGAGTGTCATCTCTTCTTCGCGAGACAAGAAGCAAAATACTTTCAAAATGTACACCCGTAAAAGTGTATTGATAGCAAGGGAGTGCCGCTCTATCAGGTAAATCACAAGGCAGTGCTGAAAAAACAGGAAAAACGGCATAATAAGCCACCGCCTCATCAGTTGACTCGCCTAATATGGTGTGCATGCAGGGATAACAGCTTACTCTGTTCAGAAGGAATCTAATAAATCTCCTCTCTTCTACTCGCTTATTTCCACAGGACCTTCTCGGCATTTTTGTACAAATGTATGGAGGTAAAGCGATGCTGTGAGGGTCACATATCAAGAAAGTTACACGCTATAGTGCAGACTTGGAGAATAAACTAGTGAACAAGAATTTGATATGAACGCGCGTACGTAATCCAAAACCACATTGCATCTAATTACTGCAGCACGCACTGTACATCTACAATAGGGGAACGAAACTGCTCGAAAATCATATATGAAACCTTCAAACTACCTTAAAAGTAAACTCAGCGAACACCCTATCAGAGAAAAGCGCATATTA